AGAGGTTTGCCTGTAAGCACAGTGCCCTTCTTTACACGCTCACTAGGCAGGGAACATCTCACAAGCTGAGCCCAGGAGCTGTTCTCTCACTGGCGTCCTTTCCCTTCCAGCACAACCTCCTCACTCCCCAGCTCATATTCTTCTTCCTCTTCGTAGAGCAAAGTCTTTGACTCCCTTAGAAGATTCCTTCAGCCCTACCAGCACTTCTCAGCGTAGACTCTGCACATTGTTTCTTTCGTGACATAAGACAGGAAAGCCCACCGTTTTTTATTTTGTAACCAAAAGCAAACTGTAGGAGAGCGGAGGAGAATTATGAGGAGTGAGAATCATCCTAATGCATTCTAGGATGAGAAAGCCCAAAAGTACTGGTCAAGGAGAGTAGCAACACCAGTCAGGAAACTGGCAGGAGAGAGATTAATTCCTGGTTGCCGGTCTCAGATCCTAAGACAAAAACCCTGTCAGCCCTATTGATGAGAGCATGTTCAAGACCCTTTATGGGGAAATTTTAGTCTCTTCAACCAACGACGTGAGAGAACTGGATGTCCACATGCAAAGAATGGATTTGGACCCCTACCTCACACCATATACAAAAATTAACTCAAAATGGATAAAGGTCAGAGAGAAAACTCTTAACACTTTTTTGGAGAAAACATAGAATAAAACCTAGTGGCCTTGGATTAAAATGGATTCTTAGAAATAACAGCCAAAGCACAAAGATAAATTGAATTTCAGCAAGATAGAAAGCTCTTGTGCATCAAAGGATACTATCAGGAAAGTAAAAAGACAACTTATAGGATGAGAGAAATGTTTGTAATTATATATCCGATAAGAGTAAGATCCAGAATACTTAGAGAACTTTTATAATCAAAAAAGCAAAAGACAAACATCCTAATCTTTTTTAAGTTACTACATGTAGGCCAGGACAGAAAGGCAATAGTATAAAAGAGAAAAATAACTGTGGTAAGCTGAAGATTTGTACAGATATATTTCCTCTAAGAGAGAAAAACCAGGGTCAGGGATGTAGCTCAGCCACACAGCACACACCTGTCAAACCTGTCAGTGTGAGGCCCTGAGTTCGATTTCTGGTGCCAAAAAAAATTTTTTTTAAACAGAAAGAAAGAAGGAAGGAAGGAAAAAAGAGAAAGAAAGACCAAATACAAAGTATAAACATCATTTTTTGGGTCCTAATCCAAACAACAAGAAAATATTTTTTAAATAATCAGAAAATTTTGGATATGGACCAGGTATTAAATTACCTAAATTAAGATGTGTTACATACATGTACCAGCTCTCCACAAAGTAACCATTATATATTGCAAACATGCAATAATATTTTTTTTAATTTTCAAAAGAAATCACCATAAATTTTTAGCTATGATATAGATAATGTGAAAGAGGAAGAAAAGGTCCAAAGGGGAAGAGGAAACGGGAGGGGTAGGGTAAAGGAAAGAAGGGAAAGGAAAAAATATGAGAAAAGGAAAAAACGGAAACAAAGTCTTTGCAAATAGGGAGAGTGGAGGCATTGAAGGAGGGCAGGGGAAGGGGGAAAAAATGAGAACCAAGATGGATTATGTAAAGGAGGACCAGGGATTTAGCTCAGTGGTTCTGCCGCCTGCCTCACAAGCGCAAGGACCCGAGTTCAATCCCTGGTACCAAAAAAATAAAAATTTTTATAAATTAAAAATAAAAAAGATTATGTAAAGGTGAAAATTCCCAATGATGAATGTAACTGCATTGCATACCTAAAATGTACTGATAAACTTAATGAATTAAAAATAGATATAATAGCACAATGGCTATTGTTTTAAAAGGCCAAGTTGTATTCTGAAGAATTTACAGTGAAATCATATGATCGCTAGGATTTGGATTAGAGAACCACCTTAAAAAATTGAATAGGGAATAGGAAGAAAAGGGCTAAAGGTGTCGGGAAAGTGGGACGGGTAAGGGAAAGGAAATAAGGGAAAAGAAAAAAATACGAGAAAATGAAAAAATGGGAATAAAGTGTCTGTGAATGGGGAGGGGAGGAGGGGTGAAGGGAGGGCAGGGACAAGGGGAAAAAATGAGAAGCAAGACCTATTATGCAAAGGTACAGGATCCCAATGATGAATGTAACTGTACCGTATACCTAAAATGTACCAATAAACTAAAAGAGAAAAAAAAATTTTTTTTATTTGAACAGGGATAAATGAATCAAGAATGGGAAAATCTTGATTAATTGTTGAAGCCAAGAGATCAGTATTAGGTCTACAAATTCTACTTATCCTATTTTATCTCTGCTTATGTATGTTTCAAATTTTTCATAATAAAAAATTCAAGCTGTTATTTAATATTGTTCTCTCAACTTTAAATATCCAGGAAAATAAAAGCACTAGCAACTGTTTCCTCAGCACTGTACCTAACTAGAGTAGAATGCTCATTTCAAATGCAACCCAACTCAGATATAAGGATAGATCTTTTGTGATATGCTCAGATTGGCCTAACCTCACCCATGGTGCTCAAAGGGGGAGAACAAGGACAAAAACTGACCACAGCCAGTGATATTCCTTTGTGGATATGCACCAGGTACTGTATAAAGTCTGGAAAGGGGAACAGCAGGAGCTCCTCCTTATGTGATCTCAAAAAATGCCACTTCTCTCTCTTCCCTACTTTAGAAAGAGTGCAGGGCTCTCAATCAGCCATGTTCACCTTCATCACCTCTTACCTTTCAAATAAAGCTGTATGTTTTCAAATAAATTCGCTTGATCCTTTCCACCACCCAGCAAACTAAACAAGAAAGTAACCCAGCTTACTTATGAAAGAGGGAGCCCTAAAGAGCTTACAGCATCTGCTAGAGAGCAGTGGAACAGTTCCAAGGCTCAGCTCCTTCCAAATGTTCTCCTAGAGAGTTTTCTTGCCCATGTCTTTTTTTTTTTTTCTTACACCTTATCGTTCACATTTCTTTTTTTTTTTTTTTTTTTTTTTTTTTTTTCTCACTTACTTTGAATCCGGATGACAATCACTTTGGGGATTTAAAAAAAAAGAGAATTCCAACAAAAGCCTCTAAGTAAGTTTTCTCTTCCCATCCTCTTCTGGACTGTCTAAGGAACATCTTAGAGCCTGAGTGGTTTCCTGGGTTCTGGAGGGGTTTGGGTTTTGTTTATTTGTTTGTTTTGGCTTTGGGGTTTGTTTGGTTTGGAGTGGTTGTTTATTTACTTTGCTTTGTTTTTCTGTCATAAAGAGCTAACTTGAACATTGCCTGGAAGAAAAAGTAAAGAAGGAATAAAAGAACTGTTTCTGTGGGTAGTCAAGAGCTCTTCCTGGCTCTCAAAATCACCCTAGTGGACAGCCAATCCCTGAGAAATCTCAGCTCTGCAAGTTGGGGCCTATGGCTCCAAGTTAGCAGAGAGAACAAACTAAGTTGTGGTTGGGTTTAGAGAGAATAAAAAATCCCTAAAAAAATTGGCAAATAAAGGCCCAGGGAACCGATTCTCAGAGAATACAAAACAGCTCATGCAGTGATAAAAGGACAGCATACTAGGAGACAGAGGCCTGGTTCTCCTTGATTTAGGATTTTGAGAAGTACTTTCCAACCCCAGGATTTTCATTTCCCTGTTGCTGTAGTTTCAACATGCCCCTCAAAGAAAGTTAATACTCAAATTCATACGTTGATGGTATTTGGAGGTGGGGCCTTTGGGAGGTAACTGAGGTTAGATCAAGGCATCAGAGACTGGCTTCTTTATAAGAGGAACAGAGACCTGAGCTGACACACACTTGCTCTCTCTTGCCATGTGAGGCCTCCTGCTATGTCAGGATACAGCAAGAAGGCTTCCACCAGATGCAACCTCTTTGGCCTTATTAGGGTTTCCAGCTCTGGAAGCACAAGCTAAATAAACTTCTATTCTTTGCAAATTATCCAGTCTGTGGTATTAAGCTACAGTAACAGGAAATAGACTAAGACACCTGTTGGTTAAAAAGTCCTTCCTAGAGCTGGCACTTATTGCCCATATTTAAAGGCATCAGAAATATCACAAGGAGTCAGATTTTCTGACAGAGAAGGCCCCTGACTGCTCCAGGGTTGTGACTAATCCTTAGGTATCCCTAGCTTCCTTTATTTAAAACTGACAAAGAAACATGGCATTTATTAATTGAATATAGCATGATGTTTTGGAATATGTGTACATTGTAGAATGGCTCAGCTGAGCTAATTAACATGTGCATTACCTTACATACTTTTTGTGGTGAGAACGAATCTCTCGGCAACTTTCAAAATGCGATCCATTGGTGCTAACTGTAATCACTATGCTGTACAATAGATCTCTTGAGCCGATTTCTCCTACCTCTCCAACCTTTTGTATCTTCTGACCAAATCTCCACAACCTCCGCTTCTACTCCGGGCTGTCGTAACTACAACTCTATTTTCTACTTCTATAAATACAATTTTTTTTTAATCCCACCTATCAGATCAGATGGTATCTGTGTCTTTCTACGTCTGTCTTCTTCCACTTAATATAACGCCCTCCAGTTCATCCATGTCGTCACAAATGATAACTTCCTACTTCTCAAAAGTCAGAATAGTATTTCATTGTGCGTACTGTATCGCATTTTCTCTATCTGTTCAGTGATAGACCCTTAAGTTGATTTCACATCTTGAATAAACACGGGAATGCAACTATTTATTTGACCCACTAACTTCATTTCCTTTCCATATATACCCAGTAGTGCTTGTCGGATCAGATGATATCCTAACTCCCTTTTAATTTTCTCTTAAAAACAACTTTTCCTGAACCTTCACAAACCTGTTGTGCTTTCAGCCTGCAACACTGAGAACAAGAAATTCCACTGTACCACACTGGCTGCCTGATGCATGAAAGGGGGCTTTACCCTAAGCAGCAAGAAGGCTGAAGGGACCAATTGCATAGCGATGCCCAGAACTGCCTCTTGTGGGGGCAGCGTGTACTGGAGAATGAGAGTGGGCAGCTTCTGCAACGGCCAGTGCCCAGCCCCCAGAGCAGTGTACTCACCGAGATCTTGGTAAAAATGTAGAGCAACAGGGACAGAAGAGAAAGGTAGATTTGGATCCGCTTGCCTCCAAACCTCTTCCGCAGATACTCTGGCATTGTCACTACCTGTACGGGATGCAAGGGAGGTCACCAGCAGTCACAGTGACAGGGCCCCGAGCTGGCAGAAAAACCGGATATATCCTGGTGTCGGAGCCACAGAGGCGTGGCGGCCAAGGACGTATAAACTTTATCGATCTGGGAAGTCACAAAGTAACCCCCCATCATCACTGATCTTCAGCCACCTGCTCATTCTAATCCACATACCCTAGCAGTATAGGAGTAGCCGGATGTTATCCCAGTACGTAAAAGGTGCCCAGTAAACACAGGTACACATGACTGAACATGACTAAAAGAATAGATCCTCTCCCTGGATGGATAGATAGATAGATAGATACATAGACAGACAGACATTCTAGCGATAGATTCTATAATTCTATACAGAGAACCTACTGTAAATGAGACATCGTGGAAATGGTGGCATCTTTCCAAGGCACCAAACAAGTTGGCCAGGCTGAATGTGACTTCCGCTATGCTCTACACACAGGCAATGCCAAAGATTGTAGCTGCCTCAACATTCTCCCAGTTTCTTTCAGAAAATTTCAACCATACTTTCTGTCTTGCTCCCTCCAGCCTGAGTCCATTGCCTCTAGGGACCAGACGTGTGTAACCTGTAATCTGTGAGCCTCCAGAAGATATGGAGCTGCCCTGTGTTTCTCCCATGCTGCTTTTAGTCCCCAATACATCAATTTACAAATCAGAGGTCCTCATTGAACAGGTGATAGTAAAGTTGCCCTATGAAAATCTCAGAGAGACGTAGTCATGAGAGCAGTTCCAGCTGAGTACCAGCTGCATGCAGCAAACAAGAGCTGAAGAATGTAAATGAAGAGGAAATATAGTTCTTTTTCTCCAACCTGTAGGGGCAGAGGCTGAAGATCATTGTTTTGTCAAGAGCAAATTCGTGGGAGTGCGGCACAAGGACACACCAAAGTAAGAGGAAGAGATGCTTCAGAGGAATCTGAATAATGTGAGATTCCGTAGGGGACCTTCTCAGAGGGATGAGTCATGAGCCTGGACTGAAAAGAATCAGGGGAGCTCTTTAATTCCCCTGTATGCAGTTAAAACTATTTTACAACCTAGCAGTGAAAGGCAACTCACAGGTCCCTGTCACTTACCCTATAAAGCTTCCTCTAACTTCTAAAATGATCAAGCCCACATCGATACCTGCCAGTGAAAAATAGAACAACAGAACAGATACTTACCCCAGCCTTAATGTAAATAGGGACAAACACCCAACCCAGCACAACCACCACAATCAGGGCCTGAAACCAAAACAAGAGATAGATGTAAATCAGGAGAAACTTTAGCCCAGAAAAAATCACCCAATACTTTTTTGTGGTGGTTGCTGTTGCTCTGTTGTTCCCAGCTACTTAAATGGGAATTAGAGACTAAAAGCGGTTTTTTCTGTCCAACTGGCCCATCAGAAATAGCAGTGGGGGCAACAGCGGAGGGGAGCCCATGAGGCTGCCACGAACATCACAACCCTGGGGCCCCAGCCAGAACAATGAGTTTTCCTTTGCATCTTCCCTGATTTACAAGGAGTAAAATACCACTTTGAGAACAGTAATAATAAAAATAACAATAACATGGTTAGGAGAGTACCAAGGCTTTGTCTTTTTAACACCAAAGGGAAAAAAAAGAAACACTATTACCACGTCAGTGGATCTGTCACGCGACTTTGTGGTGAAAGGAAAGCAGGACCGGAGTTCCGAAAGCCATACCCGTCCATCCGCACCCCCAGGTATCTCTGAGGGGCCAACGTCTCGAGCTCCTGTCAACACAGACTGCACTGGCTGAGTGCTAGGCCTCTGCTATGTTCGGGGTATGATTTCATGGGTCCCCAAAAAGTTAGTGCTCTGGAGGGTTCGTGGTTAGTGTAATGGGAGACCGTGAGACATTTAAGAGGTGGGGAACAGGAGGGAGTCCCTGGGTCTTTGAGGCTGCTGCTCAGGGACGGGGTTACGGTAGCTCGGTGAAACCCTTGGATCGTTCAGAACAAAGGCTGGAAACCCTCAGAGGGAAGGAGAGAGGTATAAAGGGTAGTGGGGAGGGAAATGAGATTCAGGCGGGTTGAAAAGCTGTGGACATGCACCAAGTCTCTACGAGCACTTGTAATCCCACCACTCGGGAGGCTGAGGCGGGAGCATTGCCACAAGTTTGAGGCCAGCCTCGGCTACATAGTGAGTTCAAGGCCAGCCTGAACTACATAGTGAGACCCCGTCTCAAAAAAACACACAAAAAAGAATTAAGATGTATTATGTACATTAACAAATTTCCCCTAATGAATGTGATTGTACAAATTTCCCATGATGAATGTGATCGTTATGTACTGCAAACATGTACTAATTAAAAACTTTTTTTTGGAGCCTGAGCCTCGCAATACCCATTCTTTTTGGCTTTTCCTGTTTTGGGCAATGTGATCTCTTCCTCTCATACATGCTCCTGCCATTGCTGTCTGTCAGGAGGTGATACAGTCCAGAGGGTTCTCAATAGACTTCACCATGCTATTTGGACTTTCAGCCTCCAAAACTATGAGCTAAATAGTCTGTTTTCTTTATAGAGTTAGCTTGCCTCGCGCACATCATTATAGTAATGAAAAAGAGACTAGTAAAAACCCTTCCACCACCAATACGCAGTGGTGCTTATGTTACTCACGTTCCATTCAGAGCCTCCAATAGCAATGCCTGAAGCTGCTCCTGTCCCAGCTAGCCCCACAAAATGACCACTTCCAATGTTACTGGCGAAGAGAGAGGCCCCAATCTGGAAACAGAAAGAGGAAGTCAGGTGACGGTGCTATACTTGACCAGGACACTCAGGCCAAAGCAAGAAGGGACACGTTAGCCAAAATCAGGACAGGAGAGAGGAGAGGCAGGCTGGGAGCCTGACTGGTCCTCGTCAGAATGACTGGGCAAGACAAACATGGTAATTGGCGAAGCAATGAAAACAAAAAGGAGAGGATTAGGGAAGGAGCAGAGGAATGTGTCCCTCATCAAACCACCCGTGGGCCCTCTGTGAGCCCGCTGTCAGATAGTGAAAAGCATATGGAAAGCACCATAACCCGCGAGGACTCCCCTAAAGGTCTCCTGCAAGGCTGTCTACGTGGAGGCTGGGCCTGTGCCATTAACCTCCATATCCTCAGCGTGCCTGGTGACTTAGGACCTTGTCCTGTAGAGGCTTTCAATAAATATAGTTAATATTTGTAAAACAAATCATTTTTTTTCTTTTATTGAGTTTATTGGCACATTTTAGGTATACAGTACAATTACGTTCATTATTGGGATCTTGTACCTTTACACGACAGGTCTTGGTTCTCATTTTTTTCCCCTTGTCCGTGCCTTCCCTTCACCCCCTCCTCCCCTCCCCATTTACAAACACTTTATTTCCATTTTTTCATTTTCTCGTATTTTTTTCTTTTCCCTTATTACTTTTCCCTTACCCGTCCCACTTTCCCGACACCTTTAGCCCTTTTCTTCCTATTTCACATGGTTAATTATCTAATTAGCATCTTACGTATTATTATAGCTTTTCACACCAGAGAAACTATTTGGTATTTACACATGTGTGACTTATTTGTTTCACTTAGGAGTATATCCTCAATATGTATCCATTTTCCTATGAATGAATCTAATTTCTCATTCTTTGTGGCTGAGTAATATTCCATTTTATAGAAAAACCACATCTTCTTTATCCAGTTTCCAACTGATGGGTAAATGGGCTGTTTCTGAGATTTAGCTATTACAAACTGTACCACTATAAACATTGGTGTGCATATATCACTGTGATATGATTCCTTTAATTCTTTTAGAAAGATACCCAGCAGAGGGATGGCTGGGTCAAATGGAACCTCTAGCCCCAGCTCTATGAGGTATCTCCATATTGATTTCCAGAGTGGTTGCACCAGTCTGCACTCCCACCAACAATGGAAAGGTTCCTTTCTCCCTACCATCCTGCCAACAAACAAATCATTTTTTAAAAGCCTCTGAGTCCCTATCTTCTTGTCAGACAGAGGGAGGCATGAAACTGATAACTTCTGAGTAATTTCTAGCTGTTAAATTATGTGATTCCATGTACTCCCTAGTAACAAGAGAGGATAATAAGAATAATTCTCTTAATCCATATACCATCTTTCCCTGAAAATAAGATTGAACCAGAAAATAAACACCAGCTGTAATTAATAGCTGGTCAATTGACGGTGGTAGTCAATGTCATGCATAAGATTATAACTCACTATTCTCTTGCTCGATGGCTAATCTATAATAGCAGGTAACGCAAAGACAGGCCAATTGGGGCTAGTGTTTTTACCTCTAGTTAGGTCTGAGTTTTGAGAAGATGCTAGCATTTATGTTTTTACAAAGGACCTAGAGACTGTACGGCAATATGCATGAGACACTGTGTTTTTCACGGACATACATAGGTCTAAACACATAAGTCAGAAGGCACAGTGGAAGGTTATAGACTGTTAATAACCAAGAGTAGAGGCCCAGAAAGGGAAAGGGGAGTGGTACTGAGAATGGGAGTCAGAAGAAAACATCCAGTGAAGCACGAGAGGGATTTGCATTGGCCAGCTGCACACTGTGCCACCAACTCAACTGCATCTGAGGCCCAAAAGAACCCCAGAGAGTTCTAGAGTCCTCCTCCATCCAGGAGGAGAAACTACAAGAGCATTTGATAAGTGAAAGACAACTCCTCAACTTCCAATATGGTTGTGCCCAAATGAACCCATGGTTAACAGAAAATATAATTGATCAAACATGCATTACTACCCCTAAGATACTGAGCATCAGAGCTTAGCCTACCTAACTTAAAGGTGCTCAGAGCACTTACATTGGCCTACAGTTGGGAAAAATCACCTAAGCTCATTTTATAATACAATGTTAAATATATCATATAACTTATTGAATACCACACTGAAAGTAAAAACAGAACGATTGCATCGGTAAGCTTTCACGCCGTCATAAAGTTGAAATATTGTTAAGTTGAATCATACTAGGGTTGGGGTTTTTTTTTTTTTTTTTTTTTTTTTTTTTGCTAAGCAGATTGTATGAGGCTTGTACTTATTTTTCTAATGTTCCTAGATGGTCTAAATCTGGAACAAAATATATATTTCCCAAAAGACAAATTACTCCAAGAAATTTTCCTAATTATATCAGCTGCTCTCCCAAATATAAGGCAGGTGGTATCAAATGCCAAGTCAAAGCAGAGACAGATTCCTGAAGGCCCAACCAAAAAGAGGGCCAGGACAAGAAAAAATGTGAGAAAAGGAAAAAATGGAAACAAAGTCTTTGTAAGTAGGGGAGGGTGGAGGGGGTGAAGGGAGGGCAGGGGAATGGGGAAAAAATGAGAACCAAGATCTGTCATGTAAAGATACAAGATTCCAATGATAAATGTAACTGTACTGTATACTTTAAAAGTACCAATTAACTCCATAAAAAAAGAGAGGTCCAGGAATGATGAGAAGGAGAGGTGGTGGAAGTTCATTCATTCATTCACACAATTAATATTCACTTAGTACTTTAAGTGTCAAATAGTGTCCTAGACATGGGAGATCCAGCTATGAATAACACAGACAAAATCTCCACTTACAGGAAGCTTATATTGAACTGAAGTAAACATAAATAACCACAAAAAGGAAGATCAGAGAGGCATAAGTGCTGTGAAGAGAATAAAGCAAAGAGGTTATAAAACAGTGATTAGATGAAAGAGTCAGAGAAGTTCCCTTGGTAGAGGTGACATTTAAATCGAGATCTAAATGATATGAGTCACCCAGCAATGGCAGAGCAATAACATTCCAGCAGTACAAAGACCCCACTTCCCCAAATGGAAAAAGCATCCATGGTTGAGAGGCAGAAAGACCAAGGTGGCAGGAAAGAAGTGGGACAGTGTGAGAAGAGGCTGAAAAGTCGGGAGGAGCTGTGTCAGGGAAATGATAGTAAGTCAGGATAGGACGAGTAGATTTTACTCTAAGTGTGATGGGAAGCCACAGAGGGCTTTAAGCAGAGCAAGAACAGGATCTAATTTGCTGTTAACTGTTGCTCTAAACTGTATAGAAACTGAAGTGTTAGGGCAGAGAAGAAAACAGAGAAACCAAGTGGGTAAGACAGGACATCCAGGTAAGACAGGACAGTGGGTTGGTCTAGGGTGGTAGAAGGTGAGACAAAGACAAGCGTAGATATAGGAGGCGAGTTTTACAAACGAGATTGACAAGATTTGTGCATGGATTTGTTGGGGTAAATAAGAGAAAGGGTGATTAAGGATAACTCCTAGACTTGGGACTTGAGAAACTGGGTAGACGCCACTTATAATGAAGAGGAAATTAGGAAAAAAATAGGTTGCTTACAGACTTATCTCTTTCTGTTCATGGAGCTATTCGTGGTTTTCTGTTGATGGAGCTAACAGTCTACTTTTATAAAAATTTCCCTCATAATATCCATAAAGTTGTCTTCACTTGAAACTAAATATATATTTCCCAAAATCCAGATTACTCAAAAAAGCTCTCCTAACTCTACCAGCCCACCTGTCCAGGACAGCCATTTATCTTTTCACTTAGCACTTCATCTGATAAATTATTAAGCCTAATACTATACTATTAAGGACATAATTATCAGCAATGATTAAGTGAATTAGATTAATCTTAAATTTAAGAAATCCTGTCCACGACCCCTTTCCCAAAAGGGGACACTGGATCTTAAGACACGTCGTGATGCAGTCCTGAGGTCCTTCCCTCACCTCCTGAGAAGGGAATAGAATGGGGCCAGCAGAGTTTTGGGGTGCTGGATTCATTCGTCAGGGGTACCACCTCGGCCTCATTCTGGACTTCTTCCCTTTACCCCTGACCTGCACTCAGTCACTTGTCAAAACCCTGAGTCTGCTTTCATCGTACCATTGGCATCTAGCACTTTCTATATCACCCTTGGCTGCCTATCAACAGGACCACATGGCATTCTTTTACATGACCTCAAGTTCATTTCTCCTATCAGTCACTCCAGCACACTTCTTCACGAAGCTACCTCCCCAAAGTGCAACTCTACAACTTTAATCGTGTCGTTACTCCTTTCAGAGATCTTGCTGGATCTCCTTTTCCCTTACGGGCCTGTTAAGCAGTCCTCCTGACGGCGCAACGCTTCAAGACATAGTCCTAGAAATTGACAAGGTTTCAGAGTAAAGCTTCCTCCAGTGCAAAGGCAGAATAAACTTAAAAATTCCAAGCAGAATGTTTTCTTGACCCCTTATCATCTGAGTGCTCACAACATCTGTATGCCTCCCATCTTCTCTCATCACAGGGTTTTGCTGGAGTCAAACAAGATGATGAGTCAGTAATGATTGGCACTCAGATGGCCCTAACCAGTGGCCCTTCCTCTCATACCCTCCCAGAAGGACAATTCACCCTTAAAGACAATTCACGAGAGCAACAATGGACACTGTAATGGACTGAATTGAGTCCTTCCCACAAATTTCATACACTGAATCCCTAAACTCCAATATGGCGATATCTGGAAATAAGACCCTTAGAAAAAGAAAGTGAAATGAAGTCATAAGCATGAAAATTTACAATATGACAGGGTTGGAGAGTTTATAAGAGAAAAATGACATACCAGATGTCTCTCTCTCTCTCTCTCTCTCTCTCTATCTCCTTCCCTCACTCTTGCATGCACACAGAGAAGAGGGCACAGCAGGAAGACAGCTCTCTATAAGCTAGGAAAAGAGGTCTCACTGGAAAGCAACACTAACAGAACCTGGATCTTGGGCTTCCAACCAAAAGT